TAAATTGCATATATATTTTTTTGAAATATGACAATTGTAATCGTGTCATCAATATAATAGACACCTAGCCATTGAATAGAAAAACAAGATATCCTGGAAATAATGAAGACAAAGGTCAGGTAAACAAAATAACCAATAAGTAAAGAAAATAAATAAGTTAACAAAGCAACCAATAGTTAAACAAAATAAACAAAAAGTAAAGGAAACCAATAAGTAAACAAAAATGATTAATAATAAAGAATAGCCAATAAGTAAACATATTAATAGACAAAATTGAACAATAATATATACCAAGATAATTGATAAACAAAGTGACCAATAAGTAAAAAAGATAAGAAGTAAACAAAATGACCAATTGGTTAACAATTATAGCCCTTAAATAAACAAAAATAACCAACAAATGACAGTGCATAAGAAAAAGAAAGAAAACAACCCCGGTTTAATCTGTTTACTTGACCATATAACCCTCTTCCTAACAGACAAACTAACCGACAAGTAAACAAAAATAACGAATAGTAAAAGAAAAAAAAAAAAAAAAAAACGCATCAGATAAAGAAAAAGAAACCATTAAATAAGCAACAGAACCATAAGCTAATACAACAGAACCATTAGATAAACCTTTAAAACAACACATGCATGATACTAACACGTAGACACGTTATTACAACGTTCTCAAATCCATACGCAAACAACTCACAGTTTACTCTGAGCAAAATCCACTCACTAACAGACAAAAATAAACAGGAAGTAAACAAGATTACCAATAAGAAAACAAAAATAACCAATAAGAATACATAAAACGACATAAAATAAACAAAAATGACCATCAAATAAGCAAATCCACTAGATAAACAACAGAACCATCAGATAATCAAACAACCTTTACATAAACAAACAACCATTTTTGTAAACAACCAACCTTTAATAAACAAACAACCATCTTTACATAAACAAACCTCTTTATATAAAACCAAACAATTCCTTATATTTGGCAAACCCTTAAGATAAACAAACACGAACCCTTATACATAAACAATCAACCCTATAACCAACCAGCCTTCTTACATACAACCAACCCTTATAGCGCCACCCCCTTTCCCAACAGACACTCCAGCCTTACGCAAAAACAACTCAAAACATAATCCATTTTTATAACAACCAATCAACAAACAATAAACAATACAACCCTTACAGCGCCCTGGCACCCTTCCCACACAACACTCCCAGGCTTACGCAACACAACATCAAATAACAACATTCCTTTCATAAACAACCACTCGGCAACACAACGATAACCTATAACCTTACATCAGCGCCAACCGTAGATACAACCTTCTGCCAAATTCCACCTCCCCCTTTCGTCAAAACAACATCAAAAACAATCCGCTGGCTTTTATAACACATACCACAATCAAACAAGCGAACAAAACCCTAGCAAGCGCCAATGAAACAACCACACTTTACCAGCGCGCTCACCCTTCTTCGGCCCTTCCCCCAACACACCTCCCAGCTCCTTGAGCAACACACTCATCACAGTTTACTCTGAGCAGAAATCTCTGCCTCACTAGACGAGGAATCCCGATTTGTGGCGATGGCACAGGTAGGCTGCCAACAGAAGAGATTCCTGACTGTCTGACCGCTCCGTCTCGGTCAGAGACCCAGTCTTCTCCTCACCTCGCTGGGCTGTTTCACTGGGGGGGGGGCGAGGGGATGAGAGGAAGGTAGGTTATTTTATGGTAGGGATTCTTTCGTTTTTACTTCATCTCTCCTATTTGGCTAATTCTTTCGCTTCTTATTCATTTCTAATTATGTCTAAAATTCTCTCGGTTTTTAGATTATTTTTTTATTTTGTTTAAAATTTCCTCTCTCGCTTTTATTTTTTGACTTTGTCTAAATTTCTTCGCTTATATTATTTTTTTATTTATTTACTAATTCTATATAGTCCGTTTTCATTTATTTTTCTTATTCTACTAAAGTTCCGTTTCGTTTCTTATGCTATTATTTTACTTTTACTAATTCTTCTCTCGTTCTTATTATATCACTCTCTTCATTCTACTAATTCTTTTCGTTTTTATTATTTCTTTATTTCTCACTCCCTTTTTGTTTTCTTATTCATATTTTTGTGTTGTATTTTGTTTCAATGTTCGTTGGACACTGGTCGGATGAGAGGAGGTGGTGTTATCCGTGCGCCTAACAGGTATGCTTGTCTCAGTCTTTTATTATTATATGTGTTTTTATATTTCTTTAGTGTACCTAATTTGTTCATCGTTTTGTATTAAGATCTAGTGTATTTATTTTTGTTTTATATGCTTGTCTCAACGCCTGGATGGGGTAGAAAGCTGGATTGGGGAGAAGGTAGACTTATACTCTTGGACTAAAGTCTTAAAATTTTCGGATTTTTTGTTTTACGTTTTGTTTCTGGTGTTTTTTGGAAGGTTCATTTGTCTATAATTCTTTCGTTTTGGATTTTATTTTTAGTTTTGTTTGTTTGTTTAAAAGG